CTCTCTAGGATATGCTCGTCCTCCTTTTCAGCCTTCTGTTTTCTCAAGAACTCCACCCTCTGAAGAAGATCCTCATTAGTCGTCTTCTAGATATTCTCTTGCTCCCTGATAGCATGTTAAACTCTTTCAACACGGATCCTAAGATCAGTGGTGGACTGGGAGACGTGAGCAAAGACCTAAAAGAAGCATAATATCAGTAAAGATAAGAGAGAAGATAGGTAACAAAGTAAATTATATAAAATTATAGTCTGGGAGAAGGAAGTTAATCTTCCAAGAGAATATTCAATGTCGAGGCTCCCAAGATCAGCATCCTCAGAGGTCTTTCTCTTTCGAGGCCCTGGAGTCTTCACGGTCAGGTCCACCTGAGTCTTTTTCGAAGGAGGGAGAGTATATATAATCTCCTGTTTGACCTTGATCAAGCCATTGGTCATGTCATCTTCAATGTCTACCAAAGCGAAACGAGCACTGGAGCGAGTGGTCTTGGAACTTGCATAAAAGTAGAGATCCTTGTGAGATCGAAGATCGCGAAACAAACCAGAAAAGGAGACAAGGAGTTATACATGTAGCCATGTTGGAGGAACCCTCTTGGAGACTAGATTGATTGAGCTTAAAGGATGTATCTGCCTTAGGGAGTGCGACAAAGTTGATGATCATCACCTCTATATAGCAGTAGAAGTAACTTCTTCAAGCTTGAAACCTATAACGAAACAAACAAAATAAGAAAGTAAATTTCAGGATCTTTTAAGATAATCTTGAAATCCTACCCTTCTTGATCCATTCTTTGGGTACAAGATCCCCGCCAGGAATGGAGTCACGCATGACAAAGAAATATCTCTCCTTCCAAGTCCTATCATTGTGTTTTGTCTTCAACACTAGAGGAGACTTGTTTTTAACTTTGAATGGGAAGTGAAAATTATCAAAAGTCGAAAGATCATACACTTGGGACAGTTCAGCCAGACCTATGTAGAGACCATGAGTTTGATTTAGATGTACAACCCAATACAGGATCCTCCAAATGATAGGCATCACTTGGATGCATGGGAGCTTTGTAACCTTGAAGAATTCAGAAATCACACTAGAGAAAGGGAATTTTAGACCTAAAGAAAAAGGGTACTCCGGAAAGCACAACCATGAGGGGAAATGAAACCCAGTTGAATCAGAGGATCATATGCCCTAAACACAATGTTTAAGGGGGAGGGGGGTGGGAAGCTCCCCCATCTTTCAGAGATTATATATCTCCATCGTCGATTGAGCATGTCTCGTCATAAGACAAGAACTTTTGATCGGTGAAATCATCCTGAGGGAGACCAAGAACGTTTTTGCGAGAAACTGTCATCTTTTTACCCATGATGAAAGAAATTGTAAAATGAAACATAAGGAGAAATTCACCTCCAAAGTTAGTTGGTACTGATTGAAAGGGACTGAGAAAGGGTGAAGAAAAACATACCATTCATTCCTATTTATAATTCTGACTGAAGGGAGAGGCGTATGATTTGACTACCTCGTAAATATCTCGTAAACGGGTAGAAATCTAGCCATTGGGGATTTTGAATTCAAAAGTCTTATCTTTTTACCCTTACCTCTATTTTTAATCATTTAGTTTAATTTATCCCTTCATTAATTCCGAAACTAATTCGCTTATTTTTAGGTATAAATTAGGGGCAATTGTTAGGGCTAGGATGTCAGAGCTACAATAAGATCCTCAAGCCTAAGGATCCTGAAATCCCAGGATCCTCGAACCTCAGGATCCTAAACATACTTCAAGATCCCGATCACTATTATTCTAATATTTATAACGGTTATATATTATTGTCTTTCTCACATGTGCAGTAATAACCAGTCGAAGTCTCAACGAATAGTCACAACTATGCAAAAGATTTGGAGGACCAAGTCGTGCAACCTCTATAAGCTGATCTCAGAGGATATCTAATTTTTTTGGAGTTCTTGTTATTAGCCTTTTGACTATATAAATCACTTGTATTCATCACAATACATACAATACTTAGTAGAACTATAACACTTGTACTCGTATTCTTTAGATTTTTCTCTATAATCAATCATTAAGACATGTGGTTATTATCACCTCCCAAGGTTTTATGCCGAAGATCCTATCAAGGATCAAGGGCTTTCCTTGTAAACAACTTGTGTAGATTTGATTTACATTACATACTTGCTTTATTTTGAACATCACAACCTCTCATACACTTTGGTCGATCTTAATTTGTTCAATATTTGACCAAAACATTATGCTTACCATGTCCCATACTTTAATGATTAAAAAGAAGACATGCTTTAAAGGCATGTTTCACTTATTAAAATAACCATAGAGGACTTCATAATATTGTATCTCCGAATACTCTCTTTTCTTAAAGAAGACTTCACTTTCAATCACCATAGTTTTAATTTATGAAGATGAAATTCTTGTCACATATGACAATCATTAAGAGATACAATCTTTAAAAAAGTTTTCTACATGCTAAGTTTTAGATTAAATACTTGAGTTATTTGCATTATTTCCTTGGCATAGAGTTTGATAAAGTGGACAATGGAATGGTTATTCATCAAAGCTATTTGATCAAAAAAGCATTACATGATTATGAAATGGATGATGCAACCCTGGTTTCAAGTCAATTTCCTTCTTAAACCAAGTTACTTCCTGTTATAGGCAATCCACTTCCAGATGCAACTATTTACATACAAGTAACTGATAAGCAAAATTTTTTGTTGCATACTCATCCAAATTTTGCCTTCTCAATCCAATATCTTAACCAATTAAATAAAACACCTTCTCATACCCATTATTCAGCTGCTATACAAGTATTAAAATATATATAAGGGACACTTTATTAAACTTTATACTTCGATGATCATAATAATTTCAAACTGGAAGCCTATTGTGACTCTGATTGGGCAGCTTGTCCAAGCACTCGGAATTTTGTTTCGGGTGAAGAGTTACATGTTGTTTGTTTTTTCGAAGCGAAAATGCCTGAAGTCTGCAGACCACCTTTGCAACCCTCTGTAGCAGAAGAGGTGGACCAAACGGCTACAACATGTAATAAAAAGTCTGTTTGTTTTTTAACATTTGCAGACTGCTGCAATAAGTTAAGGTAAGGTGTAAAGAGGTTTGAAGCAGATGGTCTAATGCTGCGCCATGCAGCACACGCTCAATAGTTTTTTAAGTTAGAAGTCTTCTGAAAAACAAACAGCTGCGAATGACCAAGGTGCTGTTTGTTTTTCTATAAAACCTCTTCAAACCACTAATTGCTACGCGGCGCAGCACACGCGCAACACTTTCCCTCTCACAGCAGTATGTTTTTTGGAAGACTTCAGACTACAAAACTTCTGCGTGTGTGCTGCGTGGCGCAGCACTTGACTTGCCTCTTCTAACCTCTTCAACTTTCATTTTTTCTAAGTGTTTATTTAAGAATTTTTGTATAACTTTTTTTTAAATTTTGATTTTCTTAAATTTTTTTTTATGGATTTGATACAATTTATTTTTATAATTTCCACGATTTTTTTTAACTTGATTTTTTTAATTTTTTTTACCGTTTTATTAATAATATTTTTAATTTCAGTTACATCTTTTTTAACGTGTGTAATTTTTTACAAACTTTGTAGACAAATTTTGCAATAATTTCTTAATTTTTTTATAATTTTATTTTTTAATGTTTTTTAAAATTAGTTTTTTTTTCTAGAATAAAACAATTAGCTTCTTTTACATTTTTTTAAGTTTTTTTTTTTTTTTAAAATTTTTTTTTATATATATTTTTTTTACATGTTCTTGTTATTATTATTTCAATGTTTATGACTAAAATTATTACGTTTCAGTGTTAAGAACTATTTTCAGTTTATAAAATTAGTTTATTTAAATTTTAGATTACTGCAGCAGTCTGCAGATGTTAAAAAACAAACATTCTTCTTATTATAGGCTGTAGCCGTTTGTTCCACCTCTTCTGCTACAGAGGTGGTTTGCAGCTTTCATGAATTTTCGCTTCGAAAAAACAAACAGCACCCAAGTGTTGCACGGTGCAACAATAAGTGGTCAGAAGTTGCTTTTTAGAAAAAACAAATAACACTTTACTGTTGAATTATCTTGGCTATATCGTTTTTTTTCATGAGTTAGGAGTTCAAGAAATCACTCACATTCCCCTCATATGTGATAACGTGGTTGCACTTTACATAGTTTCTAAAGTTGTTTTTTATGAACAGACGAAACACAGTGACTTAGACCGTCATCTTGTAAGGGAAAAGGTTCAAGAAGGTTTAATTTGATTATCACATGTTACTACTATGAACAACTAGATGATATATTAACAAAACAACTTCACGGTTCTCAGCATTCAAAAGCAAAATACAACCTTGGTTTCCTTGATTTTTGGATGGTCAAGCCTAAAAAGTTAGCGATTTTTGACAACATAGTTTCTTTATCGTATTTTTGGATTAGAAATAGATCTAAAGTTTGTAATTTTTGCTAGATAGGGTGGCTGAAAATTTCAACTATGACTTCTTTGCGAGAGTATATTTTTTACTAGCTTCTTGCTAGTTTTAGTTATTTCCTTTGGTTTCCAAAAAAAAATCTTGTTTTACTTGATAAGCACAAGCTTGAGGGATGTATGTGTGTGGACCGGGGGGTTAACTACTGGATTAGTTTGTTAAAAAGTTAGTTACGCGTTTGACAATTAGTTAGAAGAATGAGGGTTTTTGTCATTTGAGGATTATTTACTTGATTAGTGTCCTTATATATTTGAGCTTATGCTGTTGTCGAAGTAGAGAGAAATTTTTTTCGTCTTTCAGTTCCAAATTAAAATAAACAAATAACATGTTTTCATTTGTATACAATTTTTTCAAAGCCGGACATCATTCACACATCTTAAAAGAGATACAAAAAAAAATCTATTTTATTGCGGATGTGAAACGTGGGTTGGACCACCGTTATGATGAATACATAGCAAAGTAGAGGACAATGTTCAGATAAATCGGTTCCATGTTAGCAAGTGATATGATTTCCTATGTAAATTGTATTAATGTAAAAAACATTCAAACATTAAGAAGTATATATTTATTATATTATCTGTAAAAAGGCATAAACATAAATAGTTGAACAGGTATGGTTTAATTAAATAACAAGAGTCGAGCCATATTACCGAGCCGGCTTAGCCGCTTAGGTACCGGTTTATAACTTCACTGTACGTGACAAGCTACTCTGAAAAGGAAATCCCAAAATAAATAAAACCAGAACCCCCCAATCCCCTCAACTCTGAAATAGAACAACCAGAGAGGCTTTAATGTCTACCCATTCCTTCTGAAAACACACACACACACACACTCTTATCTCTTTCCTTTCTTCCTCATTTTGCTTCCTTAGAAACCTCCCCCTCTGTCAATTTCCTAGTTTTACTCCCCGTTGCTCAGATCTGTAAACACCTAACAAATTCCATTTTGGTTTTCTGGATTTTCTTTGTTTTTGCCGGAAGTTATGAGTAAAGAAGAGTTCTTGAAGATTCAGGTACAAACATCAATTTCTTTTTTGCCCGAAAAATGAAATCTTGGACTTCACCCATCCAAAAGCAAAGCTTCTTCATTTCAATGTCTTCCGAATTCGTATCATTTTAGTTTCATAATTGACGTCAGTTATTGAGAAAAATCTTGTAGTCTATAAATACATATTAAATTCACTTCATGTCTATCTGTGCATTGCTTGCGTCAAATGCCTTGCTTGCTTTCAACTCAAAAAATTAAACAATATTTTTCTGGAATTGGCTTTTTCTTTTTGTTAATTTTGACTTCTTTATCTCTCCTTTTTGACCCGAAATTGGAGGCAATAATTGGTAAAATGGAAAAGATGGTTACTTTTTTCGATTTTGGTTATGATTATGATTTTTATGTCGTTTCTGCAAGTGTTCTTGGAAAATTTTCTTAAATTTTAATTTATGTGTTTGTTTGTGAGTGCAGACTTGTGCCCTGAAAGTGAACATTCACTGTGATGGTTGTAAGCGAAAAGTGAAGAAAACGCTTCAGAAAATTGATGGTATTGTGTTCCCATTCAATTTTGTTTTCCAATTGGTGCATATATTTATCGATAAATAAAATTAATTCTCCGTTGTGTTTCCTTTAAATTCAATACGTTTTTTTTTTCTTGTTTTAGGTGTTTACACCGTCAGTATAGATTCAGAACAAGGGAAGGTGACGGTATCAGGAAATGTTGATCCGGCGACACTCCTCAAGAAGCTTGCAAAAGGTGGGAAGAATGCAGAGATTTGGGGTGCTCCGAAGCCAAATCAACAGGTCAATAATCAGTTTAAGAACATGCAGATCGACGGTGGTAAAGGCGGCGGCGGAAATAACAAAAACCAGGGACAGAAAGGGGGTGGAAACAACCAGCATCAGCAGCAGGGGAAAGGAGGGCAACAACAACAGAAGCAAGTTGGCGGTGGCGGTGGTGGGGGTGGGGGTGGGGGTGGTGGCGGTGGCCCGACACCGCAACAGATACAACAGCTTAAGCAACTCCAACAGTTAAAAGGGTTCCAAGATCTGAAGTTGCCGCCTCAATTTAAAGACATGAAGTTGCCAGGTTTTGGTAATGGCGGTGGCGGCGGGAAGGATGCACCCAAGTCTGTCAAGTTTAAGGTGCCGGAGAGTGAGGATGAGTATGATGATGATGATGATGAGTTCGATGATGATGATGATTACTATGATGATGACGACGACGAGTTTGATGATGAAATTGATGATATTCCGATGAAGAAGCCAGTGATGCTGGGTGGTGGTGGTGGTGGTTCTCAGATGGCTAATATGATGATGAACCCACAGTTCATGAAAGGCGGGCAGATGCCACAGCAGTTGATGAAGGGTGCTCCTCAAATGGGAAATAATGGTGGAAATGGTGGGAAGAAAGGAGGTGGCGGGAACATTCCTGTACAGGTGAATGGTGGTGGAAAGAAAGGTGGTGGGGGTGGTGGTGGGGGTGGGGGTTCGAATAATAATGGAGGCAATCAAAACCACGGTGGTGGTGGTGGTGGTCAAAATAAAAACGGTGGAGGAGGCGGGAATGGTGGTGTTAACATGAGCGTTAATGACGGAAAGAAAGGTGGGATGAATGATAGTTTACAAGGCATGCGAAACATGATGAGTATGAGTGGAGGTGGTGGTATGGGGCCCATGGGACAGATGGGTCAAATGGGTGCGGTTCAAGGACTTCCAGCTAGTGCAGCCATGAATGGTGGTGGTGGTGGTGGTTATTTCCAAGGTGGAGGAGGTGAAGCCATGGCCGGAAACCCGCACTACCAGCAGCAGTTAGCGGCGGCAATGATGAGCCAACAACGAGCAAACGGGAACGAAAGGTTTCAGCCCATGATGTATGCCCGCCCACCACCGGCGGTCAACTATATGCAGCCACCCTATCCACATTACCCCTATCCTCAACCACCACAAGGTGATCCTCTTGGACACTATTTCGATGATGAGAATACTTCTAGTTGCAATGTCATGTAGGCAGGGCGGATGATGGGCGGCATGAGGTGGTCTGTGACGGTTATTGCTACAATGGATTACACAAGGAATACAAGGGGGTTTTGTGTAGGGGATTAGTTGTTTTGGTTCATTATTCTTCTTTCTTTTTGTTTTTTCTTTATCCTAAAGGGTCTTTAAATTACGGATGATATGTAGTAAACGTATAGATGATAATGATGATGATATGTATTTAAAACATGAGGATGTGAGTGGATGATGGAACCTTTTATTTTCATGTTTATATGTTGAAAACCTGAAATAAAAGATGAAAGAAATATAAGTTCGAACTCACAGGCATCATATTTTGTGTTATCTTATGTACAAATTATTTATTTTATTAAGATATTAATATATTTTGTGTTATCTTATGTACAAATTATTTATTTTATTAAGATATTAAGGAGCCGTTTGTTTTTCCAAAGCGAAAATATCTAAAGTTTACTGACCATTTCTGCAACACTCTGTAGTAAAAGAGGGAACCAAATGGCTGCACGTAATAAAAAATATGTTTGTTTTACAATTTCTGCAGATTGTTATAATAAGTTAAAGTAAGGTGTGAAGAGGTTTGAATCGAATGGTAAGTGTTGCGCTATACAACACATGCTCATAAGTTTTTAAGACAAAAGTCTTTTGAAAAAACAAACAGCTGCAAATGGTCAAATATTGGGTGTGTGCTACGCGGCACATCAATAAATGGTTAGAAGATATTTTTTAAAAAAAAACAAACAACTAAGAGTTTAAACCTACAACAAAGCATGATGTTTTATTTTTTTGCAAGAAGTTTATATTTGTTCTGTAAACTCAAAAAGTAAAATATTATTACATAGAATTATTACCTATGTTCATTTAGTTGGTTCTTTGTTTATAGGTTAAATTTGGTTGTCTAACTGAAGAATATGACTTGATTATGTAGAAGGGAAGTTTGTAATTAACCTTGATACTACAGGAATCAAAAAGTTTATTATTAATATCAGCAAATTTTACGAATAACTATACGAATATTCATGCGTTGCGTATAATATATAATATATAATATAATTATATAGGTGAAATATATATATATATATATATATATATATATATATATATTTTGATGTTAACTTTAATATAATAACTTTTATAATAATTTGATATAAACATTGATTATTTTGAATTATATAATAAGATAAACATCTATTAAAACTATATAATCTTAATTGTGTTAATAGTTTCTACACATGAGTTACTCATAAATAACATAAAAATAATGGGTTAATTATATTTATAGTTTTTGTAATTATTCTTTTTTAAAAATTATTTGCTTTAACATTTTAATTTCTTTCAATATATATATATTATATATATATATATATATATATATATATATATATATATATATATATATATATATATATATATATATATATATATATATATATATATATATATTGGAAAAGCTTGTAAACAATTTTCTTGAGCCAGCTTTGTACCGTTCATCGGTTACGGCTTCTATTTTAAACCAATCAAATTTGGTATTCATCAGTAGGACACGTTTCAACTGTTTGTTTTCATTGTTTTTACGGTTGAATGGAATCCTTTGAGAACACCAATTTGCTTATATCCACTGCCTTCTCCGCCAACGTCAACTCTCTAATTTCTACCAATCAACCACGAAAATGCTCCAGCCATCGAATAACATCAAAGAGGTCGAAGACGCCAACCTCTATTTTCATCTATCCATTTGTTGCATGGATTTTGCATCTTCCCCGATACATCGCCTTCGTCGCAGCCTCCATGTGTCTAGAAAACTGATAATCATATTCACCCTCTCACCTCCACACCTGCTTTACCCCACCGTTTCTTGCACTAGTGTAGTAGATCCCTTATGCATCTAAGCCTGATAACTCCTAGGGGCGAATACCGTTGGGGGCAACCAATGGTGCATCTAGAATTGCAACTATTTAAAAATCGATTATATACGAGATAGAAAGGGAAGCAGGAAAACCAACGACGTTGCACTCGTTGGAGGCAAGGTGGTGGTTGAAGTTTGCTCACGGGTCGCATACTGCAAAGAAAATCCTCAATTCATCCCCTCTGAGTGTTTTACTCTTCTCTTTTGCCCAAGATGTCGCTTCTTGCTGTTAATTTGATGTTCAGTTTGCAACAACATCGCATCTAGGTCATGAGACCACAACTCGGGTTGGTAATTTTCTTTTCAATTTTACGATTCAAGCAATTTAATAGTATTTTTGATGTTACATTTTGGGGGGTTTTGTTTACCATTAGGTATTAAAAAGCATCATAAGCAAGCTTGTTATTAAATGAAGATGCTTTGCGTTTTGTGTTTCTGATTTTACATATTTGTTTGTATGTGTTGTAACTGTGTGTATGTGACAATCCGATATTTCAACTCTTTGTAATGGTCTAATAGGTCAAGTATTGTAACCACTTTTGAGTTAATAAAATTAACGTTGATAATAAAATGTCCAAAAAGTTTCTATTTAACTACCTACTATGTTTTATATCATTTAAACCGGGATCGTACGTAAAAAGAATGCCCAAACCCGGCTTCGTATATTGAAGTTAAGATTTTTCCAAATTCGGTTTAGCAACAGACAACTAAAAACTCGAATTGGAGATCGAGCGACTTTTGGCCGGAATGACCTAAACGAGAATCGAAGGTCTCGACATTGCTATTTCAGCGATAAAAAGTCTGGCAAAAACCAACGTCAGATAAAGAAGTTATTAATTGTTTAAAGAAATTTCTTTATCACGACATTTTATAAATAAATAATAAAAATAATTTCGGAATTTGCCGACGGAATCTAAACGAAAGTTGTAGAGTATGGTCTCACCTTCGCGAGGATATAAAGAACGTCGAAAACGGAGTTAGTATGAAGAAGATATGAATTTTTGAAGTTTATTAAATAAATTATATATTTATTTAATTCAAAATCCGGTATTATCCGAAGGGGGAGTCAGCGTACTCATCCGAGTTACGTGCCGCGTAACCCCGTACGCCCCGCGTACGCGAAGGCCTTGGCCTCGGATCGTCCACGTCGCGCCTGTGCGAACTACCGACCCGTCCCATCCGAGCTCCGAGGCAGTCGAGGACTCGGTCACGCATGACGTACGCGTACGCCCAGCGTACGTGCGTACGCCGCGTAACGAGGCCTCTCAGCCTCCTATAAATAGAGTGCGAGGGTTCCGGAAAATTTACCCCATCTCTCTCATTTCTCTCACGATATTGCCTTCGATTTCCGTGCCCGCACTACCCCGAAGCCCTGGTCATTTTGTGCAAGTCCGAAGGTCGATTTTACTCCCGAGATTCCCAGAATCCCGAGAAAAATCCGTTTCCCGAGACGAAACTCTGCCCGGTTTTTCCATCTCGCTATCTTCAAACTTTCAAGTGAGTTCATACCCCTTAATTAACCCTTTTTAAATATTCTAAACGCTTTTATATGCTTTCTAAGGGGGGGGGGAATACAAGTAAAACACACGACTACTATCGGGTGTTATATATATAAAGATTATTATACACTTTTATTAAGTAGAATCATATGTGATTTATAAACTTTATAGGGAACTCCCGTATACAAAATATATTACAATAGCATTCTATCTTTAAAACTATAAATTGTTGTAATGCATGTATAAACTAAACATTTTTCCTAGATTTAAAGTATATGTGTCTATCTTAGGCTCTACAAAAATCTATGCTTTCATAACAAGTGATTCCTTTTCTAGATATTCTAAAACAAACGAGGCACACTTTTAGAAAACTATAATAGGTATAGTTTTATGAGGATATTGCTAACTTTTACATACTAGAAACACGATTTTCAAGAAATCACTTTCATGTACAATAACAAACGAACATTTCAACACGTAAATCTGTTTTTATACTACGGTTCTGTGAGACATTAACTTCACGTACGTTCGAGTACACATTTCAAGTCCTATATTATATACCAGAATCCCTTGGAGGGGGAGCATGGTGTTTGTGTATAGATCTATACGGGCTTGACAACCCGCGCCCTGACTGTTAGCTACAGTCCACCATTTGGGGTGACAAACGTCATAACATTCCAACGCCTGAAGAACGTTGTGTATAGGCATCCCGAGTCAATAGTATGGTTATAAAACTCACAGGAGGTATTAAAAATACATTGATTTACGAGGTTTTCAAACATATTGGTTATTTTTACACTTACATACATTTTTGGAACAAACTTTGGTCTGGAAGGAAGACTACTTTTATACTAGTAGAAAATATAGGATTTTCTAAACACAAACAAACAAGGACAAGATATTTCATTTCATACAAACATTGTCATTAAATACTTATGAAACTCACCAGCTTAAATGCTGATCTACTCTTTCAAAATTACTTGTATGTCCCAGGGATTCAGTAACTACAGGTATCATTATGCTTTTGATGAAGGGATGTGCGGCGCCAGTTTAATCTCATATTTTGACATCATATTGTAATTGGATTTGAACATGTAACTTTTGACAAATGTAAACTTTCAATTATATATATGATGGTTGTATTGCTTTCTTTACTATGTATTCATTTGTTACGTTACCACATGAAGTCATCCGCCCCCGAACGTTTCGCCGTTCAGGTTTGGGGGTGTGACAGATTGGTATCAGAGCAATGTTTATAGTGAACTAAGTATATCGAACCTCATAAGATATACAAACTATAAATGCTTAGGGACTCAAAGTCTCTGACAAAAGTTTTTGTACCTAAAATCCTTATTTCACATAAATAGATTATTTTAGGTTATAAAAATCCGAAATACATGCATGCAACGACACACTTTTAGGATAAAGAACTATACAAAAAGTTTTAGGACAAGTTGGACACTACGACTAATTCTCGAGATATGTAATCAAATTTGGGACGAATATAGCCTGATCAACTATGTTTATCCGAAATTTGACTAACGTATGTCAAGGAATGATCGTAGTGAGCAACGAGTCAAAACCTAACAAAA